GCCCCTGCTGTTAGATGCAAACATCCATCCTTTTCAGACAGGTGACTGGCTGTATTTGAAGGTGTGGAAGGATGAAGCATTGCAGCCCAAGGGGATGGGGCCTTACCAAGTGCTGTTCACTACCCACACTGCCTTAAACTTGAGGGAATCAAGCCGTGGATTCACTACACTCACGTGAAGAAGACTCACTGTTAAGACATAACTCCACCGGGAGAGGGTGACCATCAGTGGACTGTCGAACCTTTGGAGGGATTGAAAGTTTTGTTTAAAAGACCTAAATAAATTGAAGGGGGATCTGTGATTGCTTCTGAATCCCACCTTGATCCCTCCACCTCCCCAACATCAACCAGCTGCACTGAGACAAAAGAGTTTTTATGGTGAGGGGGGAAACACTAAGGTAGTGTTTCTCAATCTTGACAACTTGAAGATGTGTGGACTTCAACTCCCAGAATTCCCAGCTGGCTGGGAGTTGAAGTCCACACATCTTCAAGTTGCCAAGGTTGAGAAACACTGCACTAGAGCAATATTAAAACGATAGTAATAGCAACAGATTAATAGTTTAGCGAGAATAGTAACCTCCTGGTAGAACATGGTAGTTATGATAACAAGGTTATGTTTCATGTGAATGTTGCTCTCTATTTTTTCTTTTATGCCATGTGCTTCTAAACCTTATTAATTATAACACTGCATTTGCCTTTGCCCTCCCTCATGCCACCTGTATTTCTCCTGCATCTAAAACTGTTTCTTACTGGTATTATGGAGAGTGTACCGGTTTTCCCATCAGGAATGTATGGCGAAGGCAACGAATGGCAAGCTGTATTGTATTTCGCATTCTACTAAGTTAGGGCAAAGGTTGTTGGCATTTGTAGCTCAAATTGATTCAAGCCAATTTCCCAAAGATCCATATGCTCCATTATGGCATTAGCTTTTTAAGAAACAATCTGGAAGGAAGAAGTCTTGTTTTATAAAAATGGATTAGCTTGATGCCTAATCTGGATAAACATCAGTTTTATAAAAGTTAGTTGATTATATATATTAAATGCATAAGATAAATTGACGTAGTAGCTTCTGTAAAAATAATATTTGGGTATTCTTGGACAAAATCAACTAGTATGTAGATTGGGGATGATCTAACAAAGGGGATTTCAAATTTTTTCACAGTGTGGAAACTGTTAGTTAAAAAAAAATTCCCAGAACTCCTGATCAATAAACATAACTCTAGTGATTAAAAAAATGGCTGTGTTTCAAACGTGTTGAAAAAGTTTCAAAAACAAATGTTTTTTTTTTTGCGCTTAGTCTCTCAAGAAACCCCATCAAGTTCTCATGGAAACTTAGGGTTCCACAGAACCTAGTTTGAAAAACCCTGATCTATTAAACATTTAGTAATTATTGACAAAGACATTCCCCAAAGATTCCTGAGTAAATGTACCAAATTGGAAGAGACAAGAGGTCTTGTTGAAGGCTTTCACGGCCGGCATACGATGGCTGGTGTGGGTCTTCTGGGCTGTGTGGCCATGTTCTGGAAGTTTTGTTTCCTAACG